CCCCCCTTTCCCCTCCAGTGAAAGCTGAGTGTTAATCAGTGTAATTGCGGTATAACTGCGTTTGCGCCTGCCGAATCAGTTATTCTCAATGTCACCGTTTGGCCGAGAGAGACTTATTAAAAGAGAGACAGAGGGGGGTGGGGGTGGGGGTAGTCTCAGTTAAAAGCGAGCGCATCCACGTGCCCGTCGCGGGGGGGTCATCCGCGGTGGGTTAATCGAGTTTCCCGCTCTTAATACTCGCCGCGTCTCGGCCGGTCGGGAAGGGCCCGGCCGAAAGTTCACGACGCGGCGGTAAGCCATAGTCAACGACGCCATTCTCGCCTGACAAAGTCAAAAAGTTTTTAATGGCTTTCCATTGTTTTGGGCCGACGGGTTCCGCTGACGCGAGGCGCTGGCTGCCTGACGGACGCACTGTAGTGGAGCTGGCGATTGAGTGCCGGGGTCACTGCGCCCAGGATAGCGTCGTGGCGCCGGACCCGCGCACCTAAAGAATGCCGTCGTAAAGAGAGGCATATCCGGATTCCTCCCCCTCCCCGTCATACACGAGGGATGGGAGATGGAGTCAGCCCTACCTATACGAGAAGTGCCTGGGCAAACCCATAACTGGCTCAAGAGAAGGTGAGGAGCAGGAAGTGGGGTTGTATGAAGGTGTGTGAGTGGGGTGTTGAGAGAGACGAGAAGCCGGGCGTACTAGAGGGGAGAGAGGGGGGAGCGCTCGGCTCGGCACCTTACTCACCCTCCCACCTACCCCCTCTCCATCCCCCCACCCCGCACTCCATCAACACACATGTTAATTGGAAACCAGAGAGTGTATACAAGGCATCTGCGAGGGAAGTTATGTGGGATCCGCCCGCAGAACACACGGTTGGGGTAGAGAAGGGCAGGGGGTTGTGTGACGTTCACAACCTCCGCCCCGCCTGCCTCTCCGTCCTTTTGGCCCTCCGTTCCTTCTCCTGGAGCACTTAAGGCTGCCAGTAGTATTGACCAATATTTCTGCTGTTTTTTTTTTTTTTTTTTTTTTTTTTTTTTTTTTTGTAGAATTTATGTCACCTTTTGAAAATTGTATTCTTGAATACAATTTTAAGGGGTCTGCAAATTAGATAACGCAATATAGGTATTTACAGTGTAATAGTTTGACGTTTGACCTATCGTATTTACCATGTATACGGTCGAGCCCCTGATGCTCCAACTCGGCTCCAACTCCTCACCCGCCTGCCCGCCACTCCTCCAACCCATTTCCGACACACCCCCTTCTCCCACCCTCTCCCTCCCCCATATCCCTCTCACATCCCCCCCCCCCTACCCCACCTCGCCGTCGGCGCAGCCGAGTCAGCGATGTCTCTCGCGATGTCGTCGCCACTCAGCGACGGGGATCACGCGACTCCCCGCCCGAGGCGCCGCCGCCACCCCCACCGCTTACCCTCCCCAACGCGTCACCTCTCTCCCGTCTGCTTAACCTCGTCTGCTAGGCAGGCCGAGTCGTCATCATGTTACTGGAGAAAGGAAAATTCCAGTCCGTGCAGGCGCCAAAACAGGAGATCCGTCCGCCGCGCTGACGCTGCACGTCACATGTCACTTACGCCAGGCTGGAGGTTCCAGCTACCCCGTAGCCATGGTGCGGGGTGGATCTAAAATGTTGTTTGTTATTTTGTTTTGCAGGCGAACGGCAGCGTGCTGGACTCGTTCCTGCTAGGGCAGGGTGTCCAGGATGCAGACCTGTACCCCGGGGACGGCGCCCTGGACACGCCGCTGCTGCGCGTCACCCTCGTCCTGCTCTACGGCGTCCTGGCCGTGGCCGGCTTCACCTCCAACGTGCTCGTCTGCTGCGTCGTGGCGAGGCAGAGCGCGCGAAAGAGCACGGCCGGTAAAAGTAAGTTCACGTTATGACAGCGTTTTCGTTTGCATATGTACGTCTCCACGAGAGTGTTTCGTGTGCCGCTCCGTCTCCCCCCTTCGGGTTTGGTTTGGTGGTTCAAACTCGGTTTACCGTCTCCACGTTGCTGAGCTCAGTTTGTCATGATGTTTGCTATAACGGCTACCCAAAGTGTACGTACTAGGTTCTCTCCATTACACTGCCTCTGACGAGCGGTGCAACGACAGTGGTGGCAGCTATACCGATACCAGCCTACCGACCGACGAGAGGCCGCCTGCCCCCTCTTCCAGTACACGAACACGACACCGTAATTCCTCTTCCCCTTAAGTTAGTTTTCATTTCCAGCGGCCCCCGCTCCTGGCCCTGCCCGCGCCACGACGTGACACTGACAAGTTGTGTGCCGATGAACTTTCTCCCTCACCCCCCC